CGACGATTGTGTTAGTTAAAGTTAGTAGAAATTAAATTCAAATTAGTTGTGTAATACGCTGCATTACAAAACTAATGCCATAGCTGCAACTATCGCATATCTGTACATCAATCGATAAAAACGCCGTACCAGAACTCTGATCTCCAACGACAACTACTCGTGGTAAATTATCGGCTGTATTATAAGATGAATCATAATCGTTGAGCAAATCCAGTGCCTCCGAATACATATCGATTAAGGATCTCTTTAAAAAAAAAAATCACAATTTCGGCTAAATAAGTCTGCGATAAAATCAAAAAAAGTTTTAATAATCGTTAAAAAAACTTTGTTATTTCTATCTTCATTATTTATAAAAAAAAATCACTATGGACCTTGATTTTCTTGAGTCTTCGTGAAGCATCCTGATCTTTGAGCAATAATCTTTGCTTCAAATTTTTATTTTCTTTCTCCAATCTTTCAAGCTCACGTTGGTACAGGCTCTGAAATGAGATGTTCGTGTAATGGACAACGTACTGTGGAATTAATTTATTGCATCAAGACCGCTTCTACTATCAGGACGAAACTGAAGTGGCACAGAAGTGAAATACTGCATGCTATTACGGCATTCTCCTAGTCGGCAAAGTATCATACCGTGGTCTAGAATAGCATTTTCAAAAAAAAAAAAAAAACCACGATTATCTTAGAATAGATAATGTTTCGTTCAATTTTCCAACGGTGGAACCACCGAACTGATGGGAAATTCAGCAGACAATCGACTGACCACCAAGCAGTGTACAAAGCAATTGGAAAAGTTGCCAGTTGCACGACTGAACAATTGTAATATGGTTTAACAGTACGACTTTTCCTGACGATTTTAAAACCCCTCTTTTTCAACTTTTTTTTTCGATTGTAAGTTTAATAGTTTTTCCTTTTCTTTTAATAAACTTTCCTTTTCTTACCCCTTTTTTTCTTCTCACCTCACCTACAACACTCCTTAATGCCACAACCACAGCACTCCCCTTTTTTTCATTTCCATCTTCTCCTCATTAAGCACTATGACCGTCATACTGACGAGGTCCTGTCGCAGTGTTGAATTAAGGCGTATATGACTTAATGGACCGAAACGTCTTATCTCACTCTTGCCTTCTCTCCTATACTACTCTTTTTTTTTCGAAATTCCATCGTACTTGCGCCACCTGTGCTTCCATCTGCTTATATGCTTAATAGACTTTCCAGATATTACAAGTTTAGCACAAATGCAACAGAAATTTAAAAAAAAAATCCTGGAATAAAAAAAAAAAGAAATTAAAAACAAATTTTACCTGAGTTTTTAGCATTTCTTCTTGCAGCTTCTGGATTCGTTCCGCTTCAGTCATCTGCAAATAGATAAAAAAAATTATAAGCGAATATTTTTTGCCCATTTCCTATAGTAAATCAAACAAATCAGTATGTTCAGTGAATGAAAAAATTCTGAAAGTCAACAAAATTTACCTTTGCAAATTCACTTTCTTCGTGCTCAGCCGTCGCATCTTTTTTACGTTTGAAAACATTTGAGATGGATGAAAATAACGTTTTCGGTTCTGAATTTTAATGACATATATCAGAAACACACTTCCTATCAACTTCCTTAGATAAAAATTTCCAAAACAAGAACTACTGACACTTCTGTCAACAAATGCTTGCTGTGTTGGGTTGTGTTGCGACGAATCGCGGAAGAGAAGGAAATGGGAATAAAGTGATTACCTCCAACTTTTCATTAAAGAATGTTGGGAAATATCTGTGATCGTCTCTTTGCCGATGTAAATTTATTTTATCTCGGCTGATCACTTTTTTAGCCGTTCTGCCTGTTATCGAATATTACCTAATGTATTACTGAACGGTGGGGTAAACAGTTCTACATCCCGCTCCTCTTTTTCCCAAAAATTTTCATTCGATTCCCTTTCGAGCGGACAGGCCGACTGCCCACAGGAGGTCCTGCGCAGTCTCGACACAACAGCGTCAACACTCCAATCTCGAGGCGCCAACATCGACAGCAGCCTCAACACTAATTTCGACCTGAACCCGCGCTCTGTATGCGGGATTGCTGCAGCGAAATACTCATTCTCCTGATTGGATCCCGAATTCGAGAGCGGCAATCCGCGAAAACGTTTGCAACTGTTGGGTTGGGCTTCCCGATAGGGCGTGCTACCACTTGGGCTACTTCTCAGTACTTCCCCCCCCCCCGCTTTCTTCCCCTCTCCCTTTACACAGAATAAACATGGACATATTTCGTCTTTTTAAGTAGCAGTACCCATCGCAGCACATCTATTAAAGGTTGAAAAGAAAATATCAGGAGAAGAAGGGAACAGTGAAAAGGAAGAAAAGGATAATGAAATGGGAAAGGGGTCTAAAGAAATATTTGGCATAGGTAAGAAATGTTTCGGTCCATTAAGTCGTATACCACAATGTGATTACACTGTTTCTTTTTTATAGCCAAGGGACCGCTCCAGCATCTTTTACTTCCTTGTACCCACTAGAATCTTACAGCACCTTTTTCCTTTACAACACCGTCTACGAAACTTCCAAAACTTTATGCATAAAGAAGTAAAAAAAAAAAAGAAAATGTTAAAATTACTAAAAAAATTTGATTTTCAGCAAACGAAAATTCTATTA